CGTGTGGCCACCCCTGTGAGTAGTGGTCCCCGTGTGGCCACCCCTGTGAGTAGTGGTCCCCGTGTGGCCACCCCTGAGAAAAATGTCTGGCTCCGCCACTGTGTTGTTTTCTTTTTTTATTACTCTTTTATAACTCTTTGTATACTTTGTACTTTTTAGCTCCTTGTATTTCAGAGTTCAGCTCATTCAGGAGATGTTTGATTGGACTTTTGGTTTCTCTTACTTTATAAAACTTTGTAAAAAATAAACAAAACAGCGGCCTGTGTTAAGTGATAGGTTGTTGTCTCTTGTGTCCCTGTGATGGACTTGTGTCCTGCATGTGTCCTCGCCTTTTGAACAGTGAGGCACCAGCTCCCCTAACTTAAAAAAAGAATTTGACTTAGTCTTTAGCTTATGTTTCTTTTGTCTTTTAGCCAGCATTTAGCTTATTTTACAGTTCTGCTGGTTTTGCTCATTTTAAACATCTCAGTGAAATCTTCCTACATTCAGGATTCAAACAGGATTTTTGCAGACTTTCTTATTTTGCATTCGGTGCCTTTAAAGCCAGCATGACTTTGTTCCATACAGCTGATATTAAGCGCAGGTGCAGAAACTTCCTATTTTTGTGTTTATTTTGGGGGTAAATACTGTTGGAGCTGCTGAGTGGAGTCAGGTATGGTCTTATGCAACGTGCCGCCACATGGAGAGGTTGGAGACACTTGGAGGAAGCTGAAAACACGGACATCAGTTGTTGCTCAGAGACATTTCCTCAAAGCTTTTGTTGATCCAGTGTGGAGAAACTCCAGTCATCCGAACACTTGTGCTGATGAGACATTTAAGTTTTTAATAACAAGTACTTCTGTGTGGTGAAACGGGTCACAGAATGGTTCTGTGGATCATTTTATTCCCATCAGGGCAGTTTGAGCACGCGGTCGGTTGGTTTCAGTCGCGGACATGTTGTGGAGTCTGTGCGCGAGAAAACTGCGCCGCGCGCGGTTCTTTGTTCACCAGGGCTGCTGCAAAACCTTTTTTCTTTTTTTTTTTCAAAATGGGAAATGTGAGGGCTTTACTGATCCCCCCTCCCCCCCCCGCCTCCAACTGCATAAGGTCTGCAGCGCCTGTCTGACAACTCCCTTTCTCCTCGCGCACGCACCTCCTCCTCCCCACCCCAGACTCCCTCTCTCTATACATCCTGATGCGCAGCGGCGCGAGACAACAGCGCGGTGACCTGCCGCAAAGCTCAGAGGTGGGCGGACCCCCCCCCTCCCCCCTCCCAAAGCCCCATTCTGATTTTTATTTTTAACAAATGTAACTCCTTCACTCCTGTGATCCGAGCCGGTTCTGCTGAGCGGAAGCTGCTCATTTCCTCCCCATCACCATGAAAGTTGACATCATCTTTCCTCTCAACCAGATGACCATGTGCGCGCGCTGCTCTCGCACCTTTAAATGACTGTTTACATCCTGGATGTCTTGTTCTTACATAAACCAGAGAGAAATGAGTGTTTGCGCAGCTCCGCAGCTCCGCAGCGCATCTGCAGGCGCAGGAGGAGCGGAGCGGGATCAGCTCCTCCTGGGCTCGGTGTGGGCTGCCACATGCCTGCGAACCTGAGACGGAATGGTAGCTACCGCGGGAGGGCGGCTAGGTTTTTTTTTTTTTTTTGTCTCGGTCAGGAGGAGGGGGAGGAGTGGGGAGCCGTGTAAACCAGACTGGGTGGAGCGACGCTTCGGCTCGGCCCCATCCACCGAGCCGACGGGGCCGGAGCTCCACACTGTACTCAGAGTACCGGTGTGCAGATCGATCACAGTATCGATCCCAAGGTTGGTGTCTGAACCAAAACAAAGAAGGTATTTAAAACATTCCTTCTCCACTTTGTACGGATCTAATCTGTGCAGCAAGTAATGTGTTTTTCTGGATGTTTAAACAGTTGGCTTTAAATCTGATGTGGGTTTCCAAATGGAAACTAAATTAATTTAATAAACTATTAAAAATAAAACACAGCTCTGGATAAAACTGGTTCGGTGAGGTCCAAAATATAGAAAACATATTTAAATTCTCTTTTTGTGAAAGCATGTTGGTTTTTCTTATGGATAACCAAGTGTAAAATAAAATGTTAAAAAATGTCACTAATACTTTTTTTTATTTACCTCACTGTCTGGGAGTAAAATAGTTTAAAATTTTTCACTAACATTGTAGCTCACTGTTTATTTACTAACTTTTACTAAAATGTTAATGTTATTATTAAATGTTAAATTCTAAAAAATAAATCTTAAATGTTGTGGCTAAATGATAAAATTTACTTTTAGTTTTCACAGAATGCAGCCTTTGCTGTTGGTGTGTGACTTTTGTTATGATGTCATCATCCTGCGACAAAAGTAAACACACTTGGTGTCCCATTTTTCCTTACAATTGTTTTTTTTTCAGGCCTACTCCTCTCTGTGGGTTGACAGCTTCTCTCTGCCAAAACAAACAGTCAGATGTGAATTACCCGAAAAGTTGTGCCACTTAAACAAATCGGAGCTGTTTAGGTCATTGCCCTTCATGTAAACAAACATGTAAACATTTAAAAACAAAACACTGCAGGTCATTTTTGTCAGCTGTTAATTCATGTCCATATTTTGCTGCTGCATTTCTTAGCAAAGTTCAGCTGCTATTAGTTATTATTTCATATTTTAAAGAAAATGAGGGAGTAGGCGGGCCTTAAAGAGCACAGTTGTTGGTCTTAACGATTCAACATGACTCCCAACAACGAGACAAAGCACATATGAGCCCTGTGGAGCACGATCCATACTGTCCCAGAAACATTGTTTTTAGCATGTAGCATTTAGCTAAACTGATGACAGAATTCATTGGATTTCGGTCTTTCATCACCTGCAATGTTTAAAAGAAAAGGCAACGTTTGCAACAACTGTGCATTTTTATTCCAGGGAAAAAAATGATGAGTTATAACATAATTGTCTAGAAAATAGTTAGCAATTTCTTATGAATAAATATATACACATCGTAACTCTATTTTATTAATCAAAATATATTCAATATTAAAACTGCTTTCAGAATATAATGTAACACACCTTTATAATTAAGTATAGAAATAAATATTTTCAGTATTTTTTCCTAAGAAGTCTATCATTAATAAATGAGCTGATGGGAGGGATCGGGCAGCCATGCCCGCCTACTCCATCAGAAGCTGAACAATGGATGCGTGGTCACATGGTTGTTCAGTGTGTTTTAGCGCACATCAACAGCCCTCAGACACACCGCTGACCTCCTGGGAAACTCCTCCCACTGAGGTACACGTCACTGCACAGGTTTCTACTGTTAGAGTACACTCCAAAAAAAAAAAAAAACTCTGATGTTCACAGTTTTTTGTCCTAAAACCTGACCCGGTTAAAGCCTGACAGTTTTTGTCAGATGGATCTCTTTGTGCAAAACATCTGCTTTGTTTTCCATCTTGGTCATTTAATTATCTTTAAGTCTGCGTCTGGGTACAACAGCTGGGTTCTGCAGAGTAGTTGAAGCAAAATGCAGCGTTTGAGCACATTCAGCAGGTATAATAAAACTGGACAAAAGTGCCGAGTCTGCTTAATCAGAACTGCTGAAATCACCTCTCACTGTCGCAGCTGTGTGACAAAAAATGTGTTTTATTTTCAGCTTTGAGTCTTCAAGCTGTGCCACCTAAAATAAATGATATCCAAATGATAAAAAGCTGCTCTGTTTCATATAAATTACTATCAAACATCTGCACCAAGTAAAACAGCTTCAACCTCTCTGTGTCCACATTAGACTTCATTTGGGTCCGGACCGCGGGCCATCATTTGGGGACCCCGCCTACCAAATGAAAAATATCGGATCGATCCCGACGATCCCGGTCCTGTATTTACTTGTCTCGGGATCGATACCAGATTTTGCGGTATCGCAGGCAGTGTGTCGGATGGAGGGAGCTGGGGGCGGTCCATGGGAGGGTCTAGCGCAGAGAGGGAGGAGGAGGAGGAGGAGGCGGCTCGGGTGCTGTTTCTCCAGTCTCTTTCCCCCTGTCTTTGTCTCACACACTCTTTTGTTAGCCATGCCTAGCCTGCTGGTTCTAGCAGGGATCATGGAGAAAAACGGGGGCTACGCCGGGGATCTGGCCGGCTCCGGCTTCGGCGGAGAGGGTCTCCTGGTGCCGCCCGACGAGGAGGAGGACGACTCCCGTGCCCTCAGGGTCGCGCTGGGCCAGCTGTCTCTGCTGGGGCTCGGGGAAGGCGAGGACGGCGGCGGCGGCGGAGCCCCGACAACGGGAGGAGGAGGAGTGCAGGACCGGAGCAACAACAACAACAACAACCACCTCCACAACCACGCCAACAGCGTGGGGAGCGGCGGGGACGCGGCCATCCTGCAGGGGAAGAGCAAGTTGTGCGCCCTGTACGACAGCTCCTCGACTGAGACGAAAGGACGAGGCTGCAACATCACGGAATGCGTCCCGGTGCCCAGCTCCGAACATGTGGCCGAGATAGTGGGGAGACAAGGTAAAAACCCGCGGGCTGCACGGTTCTGTTTCCCTGCAGAACTTCCTGCTTCCCCTGCACACACAGCTGCATGCCCGGGCTCCTCCAACTCTTACCTGATGTTATTTAACAAAGAAAAGGGAGTGGTGTGCTCCGCTTCTCTACTCCTCAGAGACTCCATCCTCCCACTTTTTTTCCGCCACAAGTTCTCATCAGAAACAAGCTGCTTTCGGCTCGTTTTTTAGTCTTTGTATCCTTTGCTTTTACGGGTGGATATTTCCACACAGGGACAAGGGGGAGGGCATATTTGAGAGAAAAGCCCCCCCGTTGAATTCATGGGTGAATTATTCTCCATCCACGCCATGATCAATGTCAGCGCGCAGACACGCGCTGGAGCAGGGGGAGCGCTGCTTCCTTTGTCGTCTGAGACGCGCCAGACTGTTAAAAAAAAAAAAAAAAAAAAACAGGGGGGCAGCTGGTGAGGAGAGGATTGTCTTTCACTTTGAACTGCATAAGATAAGCAAAATGAGTCATGTGGGTTGAAAGCTGACAGATGTTTCCAGCCCCTGATGTGCAGTTATTTCTTTTATCGTCCAGCTTGTTGTTTACGTCGCGCTCCGGCCCACTGACACCAGTGGACAAAGAGATGGGATGGGATGGGATGGGATGGGATGGTCACCTTGTTGGGCTCCTGCTCCTCTGAGAGCAGACTTGGAAAGTTCTCACACTAAACACATCCTCTCTTTGACTCCTTTCTTACAGTTTTAACAAAGAGCTGAAGTTGAGTGACAGAAGCTGTCAAACAAAGGTGTGTGGAGGGGCAGTGGCGGATCTACAGGATTTTTACTGGGGGGGGGG